AAGGACGATCAAAATAATTTACATCACTCGAAGTTCTCTTTCCATCATTATTGAGCAACAGGCGCGTAGGGGGGGGGGGGGGGGGATTTGGGGGACAAATTCCCCAACGTAAACAGAAAAATTTCTTTATTTTGCTAGGGTTTTATGAAAAAATCACAAAAATCCCCCCCCCCCCCCTCCCCCTTAAATTTTTTCATACAAAAAAAAGTTTGCCCCCCCCCCTCTACAAATTCCTGGCTACACCCCTGTTGAGCAATATTCTTTCACTCAGAACAAAATCTTTAAGCTATCAGCACTCCTTAATACAGTCATAACGTTTATTGATTTTCATTTGCTTCAAATGATCGAGTAGTTCCTTAATCTAAACAACTCAATAACATTTTATCGATTATGCTCGATTAATATGCCAAAGTAAATATTTGATGTAAAAATTATGCAATTTTACGCTTCCATCTGAGCAGAACAGCCATAATTTATCGTTGGAATAATTTTATTCTTTTGAATTTTCTGGATTGACTTATAATTAAGATTTTGTATTAATTTTTAGTCATGCCTTACGAGATATAATATTTTGCAAGAATAAAATAAATATGGTAGTGCTTCCATATTATTTATGCTAGATTATTCTGTCATGTCCTAAAATAATAAAATTGAAAGAATACATTCTTTATATCGAACATATAAGCTTTATATTCTCCTTCTTCTTCATCATTTTACCAATTATGGATTACATACCGCAAAAATGAACGCAAGTCTAAGCGCCTTCTTCTCTATACACAAAAAGCACGAGCTTTGAAGAAGAAATTTTTAAAGGGATAGGTTATAAATTGGATGACTTATAATGTGTAGTTTAAAATTTTGAATCAATTGTAGGTTTTAATTCCTGCTTAATTTTCATTACTTTTTGGAGTAAAATAAATTTCTGGGGGTCCTCGATATGAGTAGGTGTTTTGTTCGAGAAAAATCCTGTTTAAATCGAATCTACTCAAATCGAGGACCCATAGGAGTGTCAAGCAAGGCTCTTAAAGACATAAAATTGTTTGATCGAAACTCAACTAGTGCCAAAAAATGTTTACTTGAAAAATAAAAAAGTGTGTCATGAAATTCAATAATTCAAAAGAAATCTCTTAACTTTTGAATCCATTTTGAGACGTTAGTTTATAACACGGATTTTGAAACTGTATCATTTGAGGCAACACATTTTACTTTAGTAAGAGCAACCTAGCACCATATAACAGTTTAATTTTTAATTTTGTGTCTTGGTGACTGAGAAAAGTTTCTTCTTCCCTTCTTTATCTCTTTAAAGGGGTTACTTAATTATATTCACACCGTTTTCACGTGTGAATCTATTGGTTTTGTTCAGATTGAAAAATCAGTTTTTCGCATTTTGTGAGAAAACAACGCAAAATTGGTCATAAAAGGTCACAGAAGAAAAGTTTGTGCCTGAAATTTTACATCATTTTCAAAAAACAGATTTCAAATTGGTTGTGGCATTGCTGAGAAAATCGTAAAACACGCTTTCTGTAAGCAAACAAGCAAGCAAGTTAATCAGCAAGAAATCTCAATAACGAGACATTGTAGAGACTTCTAGTTTTTTACATTTGATCCGTGCTGCTCTATAGAAGAGCTGTATTGTTTTTGGGCAAGGTAGGAACAGCCGTTGCTTCAGAAAAAGCAAAAAACTTTCCTTTCTTACGAATCTTTCAAATTAAAAGTTCACTGTGATTTTTTTTAATTTTAAATTAAACTTTGGATGAAAAAAATTTTTTTGAGCAAAGAACCAAGTAGGAAATACATTTTCAATTTTGGACTAGGGGCGACCCTAGTCAAAATCAATTTTGTCACTTTTTTTTTCGAGGGTTCATCCAAATGGATTGAAACTTTGCATAAATATTCTAGTGCTTAAAACAAATACAAATAAAATGTCTTGAAATTTTTTTGAGCAAAGAACCAAGTAGGAAATACATTTTCAATTATGAACTTGGGACATGTATTCTATATGTCGTCAGACCCAAATTTTATAAATTTGGTTGTACATTCAAAAACAACGTGACTCAAAATTTTGTCCAAAAAAATGATTTTTATTAATTCAGAAATGTTTGACCTGAGGATTAGAATGCTCATACAAAAATTTACTGTATTTGGATTTATCCTCGAAGAAAAAAAAGTGAAAAACTAGATTTTGACTAGACCTGTCCCAAGTTCATAATTGAAAATGTATTTCCTACTTGGTTCTTTGCTCAAAAAAATTTAAGATGTTTTATTTGTATTTTTTTTAAGCACTAGAATATTTATGTAAAGTTTCAATCCATTTGTATAAACCCTCGAAGAAAAAAGTGACAAAATTGATTTTGACTAGGGTCGCCCCTAGTCCAAAATTGAAAATTTATTTCCTACTTGGTTCTTTGCTCAAAAAAATTTTAGGATGTTTTGTTTGTATTTGTATTAAGCACTAGAATATTTATGCAAAGTTTCAATCCATTTGGATAAACTCTGGAAGAAAAAAGTGACAAAATTGATTTGACTAGGGTCGCCCCTAGTCCAAAATTGAAAATTTATTTCCTACTTCGTTTTCTGCCCAAAAAAATTATAAATGTTTTATTTGTATTTGTATTAAGCACTAGAATATTTATGCAAAGTTTCAATCCATTTGGATAAACTCTGGAAGAAAAAAGTGACAAAATTGATTTGACTAGGGTCGCCCCTAGTCCAAAATTGAAAATGTATTTCCTACTTGGTTCTTTGCTCAAAAAAAATTTAAGATGTTTTGTTTGTATTTGTATTAAGCACTAGAATATTTATGCAAAGTTTCAATCCATTTGGATAAACTCTGGAAGAAAAAAGTGACAAAATTGATTTGACTAGGGTCGCCTCTAGTCCAAAATTGAAAATTTATTTCCTACTTCGTTTTCTGCCCAAAAAAATTATAAATGTTTTATTTGTATTTGTATTAAGCACTAGAATATTTATGCAAAGTTTCAATCCATTTGGATAAACTCTGGAAGAAAAAAGTGACAAAATTGATTTGACTAGGGTCGCCCCTAGTCCAAAATTGAAAATGTATTTCCTACTTGGTTCTTTACTCAAAAAATTTTTAGGATATTTTATTTGTATTTGTTTTAAGCACTAGAATATTTATGCAAAGTTTCAATCCATTTGGTCCTACTTGGTTCTTTGCTCAAAAAAATTTTTTGGATGTTTTATTTGAATTGACATAATTCTGACATAAATCACATGCCAATATTATTTTTTGTAATGCATAGCTTAAAAAAATCGAAATCTAAAATTTCGACTAACCCATCTGAATTTTGTTCATACTCTTCACTGTGGAAACGAAAAAAAAATTTTCTTTATCTTAAAACACTTGACAAAATAGCGACATAATTCAGTATTAATTACTTTTTAATAATATTTTAACATTTACGAGAAAATTTGGTTCAAATAAGTGTGAAGTATGGCCGAGATTTGGACCAAAATCAGCTATACTGGCTCATAAAGTTCCCGAGGGTGACAAAATTCAAACTAAGTGTTTTTGTAGCTGACATAATTATAACATAAATTAGGTATATCTTTTGAACTGTGTCGATATGGGTCTCGGCCGTACTTCACGCCCACCCTTCAAACTTATGCTGAGCAAATCTTGGTCTATCCATAAGACTTTTGATGGTACGGTGTGAATATATCCGCATTGGGTTTCTACCCGATACACTAGTTTCCATGTCCATGTTTGAGTAAAAATTCCCATTTACTTACGGCTGATTTAAGTCACTTTAAGAAACTTTTTTAATGCGAGATTATAACGGAAGTGATGGAAGCAGAAAAGAAAAAAATAATAATATAAAAATATGAACATGATAAGTGAAAGGGGGGGGGGGAGGGGGAGGGGGCTCGAGTGGCAACAAAAATGAGAGAGTAACATGAGATACAATTTTTGGTGGAGGCAACATGATATTAGAAAATGTAAAATTCATACATCTTGAAGTTTGAGTGAATGGAAATGTGCTGAGTAAGTGAATGAGAGACACCATCGAGAGTTAGAGAGAGAGTAAGTAAAAAAAGGGGAGAGTAAAAAGATTTGATGCCTTTCTATCGCTGCTGCTTGAAACATATTCACATTTCAATGTGTTATGTTAAGATACATGAAATATAAAGCTTTTTCTTTCCATACTTTATATCCTTTATGAACAGTAATATAATATTGAGAAATTTGAGAGAAACTAAAATGAGCGAACCTGCGCACAAATCACTCGGACCGAAAAAAGCGAGCAAATGTTGGAAAAAATCTAAGCCTCGATTTTTCACTATTGGCAGTGAAGAGCAGATTGGGCACGAAGGAAGCTCTGTGCAAAACGGATTCAGAGCTCGAAAGTGGATAGGAAAAAAAAATCATAAAATAAATTTTCTAATTCATGATAGAGACAAAAAGTTCTAATAGTGACATAAATTAGCACTTCCTTATCTGATTAAGTGTAAAATAAGAAATTGTATGTTAACATAAATATAGAGACTGTATAGATTACATTTAAAACAGAGAGAGAGAAAGAAAAAAGTTTTTTATTCGTGTTAGCCATCATTGTTATCAGTAACTTAGTAAGAAGAATAAAATTAGAGAAAAAAAAAGAAATCAGTTGTTCATCTAGATAGTGTAAAAAGAAGTTGTAGTGTAATATTTTTTATCATCATTATTCGTAAACTTCTTAACCAAGTGTCATTTGTTATTGCTCAAGTGGACGAAAAAAAAAGTAATTTAGAAACTCCTTTGTGAGACATTGTGCTGCATAAGAAAAAATTTATATATAGAAGAGGAAAAAGTTTCCATTTCAAGGATTTTGTTTCAAGAGACTTGTGGGCAGATGAAAAGAAACATATTTCCTATAGCAAAATTGAAACAAGGAAAGACATTGAAAAGGAACTATTAAAAACAGGATAAATAAAAAGTTAATTAATTTCTAAAAATAAAACAGTTATAGATGAATGAACTTAGTATTGTGTGTGTATGAGTGGATTTGAACTATTGATATAAATTTAATAAGTGTTATTTACTCGAACTTACGTACTTCCATAAAAAGTGCATAATAAAAAATATATATCGTGTAAGAATTTCGTCATCCATGTAAAGTAAGTTTGAGAACCAAAAATATGAAGGAAGTTTGCTATGTAGAGCGATTGTTTGAACAAGCATTGGATTTAACTTTTAAGTCATTATGTGAAGCTCATGCAGTGTTTCTTAAATTGTTTATTGCGAGTTCTAATGGGCACGGGGTCTAAGTTTATGTCGCAATTCAAACAAAAGAATTTATCATGCTAAGGACATTTCATTGTCGAAAAAAGTTGATATGTTCGAATTTAGTCAATCTAGCGTTTGAATATTTAAAAACTTTTAAAAATTTGTCAATTTTAGGATTTTAAGCATTAATATATAAGTTCTAGTAGTTTTCTTGGTGATTTTAGCTAAACTGAGCTTGGAGTTTATATTTTAATTTAATATATATATTTTTATACGTTCTATGACGGAACTAAAGGATGACCCCAAAGAAAAGTTCGTTGAATATCACAAATTTTTCGAACATCAAAAACCAAAAATTGTATCCTAAGGCTTATTATGAAGGATATGCAACTGATAAATCACGTTTTGATCACTTTGTTCTCTTGCTTGTTAAACCTTAAAAATCAATCTCGCATTGGGTCATAAAGTTTGAGAATCACTGCATTAAAGTTATATAATTTCTTGGTAATTTTCATGTTTTTTAAGAATTTAAAGAATAGATTAGTTCAAATCCTAATATAAATTGTAGATCTTGATTTGAGATTATAGCTCTGGATCACAATTTATCTGAATAATTAATATATTTTTAAGAATGTAATACTTTTGGATTCAAACTTTAAGTTTTCAAGTAAATGAAACAAATTTTATGACACTATTCAAAATAATCCAACTTAACTTTAGCGTTTTTTTTTTTGCTTTTTTGGTGTAAAGTGTATTTTAGTAATTAGGATGTCCATTTTGAGATAAAAGTGTCAAGATTAAAATCATTTCGCTCAGCAAAGTTTGAGAACCAAGAATTAAAGGTGTGAAATTTAAAAGTCTGACATCATATTTATGTAATAATTATTATGAAGGCTGAATAGTTATAAGGCTGATGGTTATAAAAGAATTTTAAAAAGTCCTTTATGATGTTAATGAGGATGATTGTTTAAAAATCATACGAATCTAAATTGTTTGTGTCAATTTTATTTTCTATCAATGTTTAACTATAAGTTGTAAATCAACCCTAATATTAAATGATTAAGGACCGTCCTTTTTCTAAACATCCACAAACAAAGCTTTTTAAATTAAGTTACATGCCAAAGTGAACAAGTCATAATCAAAAGTGCATTTTCATTGTCCATCCTACATTTTTAAGGCATAATCACCAAATACATTACAATCACAAAAATAGAAACACGACTACTAGGACAAAAGAAGAAGGAATGAGAAGGAAGGAAAAAATATATTTTCTTCATGATTTTCAATCATGACATTGAATTCATGAATGAAAATTATTGTTTTCCTTTTTTTTGCTATGTGAGAAAAAAAAACAATAAAAGTTTCTAAGGTAGAGCATACTACATGCGAGTTACGACTGCTAAGAGAACGAGAACTTTATTTTTATTAAGTTTGTTATTTTTGGAGGAAATTTACCTCGTAAAAAAATTGGAAGGACAAAAGATGTAAAGAAGCAATATAGTTAAGGAAGAAAAAGAAACAAAATAGTGATTTACACAAACCTTTGCTGTCTAGTTATTTCTCTCCGGAGGTTTCGCTTGAATAAACAATGAATGGATAATTTTAGTGGCACAAATAAATTTTATATTGTCATTTGACAACTGTTGAAGCCCACAAGTACACAAGTCGTGGTGTTTACGTAACAAACATTTACTCACTAAACAACCTTATAGGATTTTCATATCAGCACACATTGGATCTGATTTCATAGAATGCAAACATTTTCATTTTCTATTTTTAAGTTGGATTTAGTTAATTTTCAACATAATGCCATCTCTACTCGACTGCATTTATGATCATGTTGTGATAATTATTCTACAAAATGACACCAAATTCTAAATGTTGAATTTTATGAGGGATGAATTCATGTTTTTTGGCATAAGCTTCTGTTTTGTCTGTTTATTTTCATTTGGTTTTTGTGAATAATTTGTGATGAACGAAAATGCAAAAAGCATGTTTCTCTTCATCTTTCCTTGTCACTAATGAATTTCAAAGGTTTCAACAAGTTTGTGTCTATATGACATTCTATATGCTTTATGTGTGGTTAAAGGGTTTCTAATGATGTTTTAGATTTAGACTTCATTCTGTTGCATTTTTTATATTTATTGTTTTTTCTTTTCTTTTTGGAATTAAGCATAGTAAAGTCTTTGAATGATTATAAACAAGTCTTTCTAGTCCAGTGTTTCTAAAACTTTTTAGAACATGACACAATAATCCAATAAACTTTAAGCTTCTTTTTTTCTTTAGTTAAATACTTTTAATCTCTGGAATTATAACACTAGTATCGTTTCACACTCTTTCAAATGATTTCTACATGTGGGATCGTTCACTTATGACATCCGAAATTAACGGTCATTTTTCAAAAAAGAACAATAGATTTCCAGGAATTACTATTGTTCTTTTTTTGCTGACCCCCACCCTGGACGTCATAAGTGAACGGCCCCATTTGAGGTTTCTCATCATTTCTCTCATCACTTACTCCGTTTACTCTAAGTTATTGGTGTACTGTCTATATAGTTTTTATAAAAGTGTAATTTTTGGCACAAAGTTTATTTCGAGAAATACTGCTATTGCCAAATTTTTATGCATGATTGGTGAACACTGATCCTTTTCACGGGGATTTCAAAGGACTCAATAGAATACGATGGTTTCCAAATTATTATCTCATACAAATTTCAATCTCAAAATAGTGCCTTGAAGCCTCCAGATAATATTCCAAAGAAAAAACTTTAACATTCAGACCATAAGACCATAGCTGCGCGTTATTTATAATTTATAATACAAGGCTAATGATAGTTTAATGAGAGAAGATTCGCATGACTTCCTGCTTAAATCTACAGTTTAAAGTGGGATCCGAACCACTCCATACTCCATAATATTCCATACTTTTTTTTTTTAAAAAATGCATCTTAAAACAGCATTGATGGCATCTCAATAAAGTGACTTCCTATTACTTAAGTATGGAATTTACAATTACAGCTAGTTCCACACATGAAGTTCAACATCAGATTATTATTTCAAGAATTACTTTGTTTTTGGGTTACATAAACTACCTTAGCTACATCACACAGCTTATCATAAAAAAGGGGTTATAGCGGTTGATTCCAACAAGATTACTTCACTATAGCAACTGAAAAAAGAATGAAAAGTTTTTGCTGAAGAATTTTTATCACCAAGAGAACTATCAAAAATCTTTAATCAAATTCCTCCATGAGAATGGTTCACATAGTCTAATGGGGAACTAGAATTAAACAAACAAAATGTTTTGAAAGCATTTCATCCTTCATTTTTAACCCTTTTAATAGCTCGTTTTGAGTTTATAAAACTTTTTTTTAATTGGTCGTGCAACAAAAGAAAAACTTTCAACTTTGGTTACAGTTTTTTATCTCGATGCATACTTGCTACATTGTTAAGTCATTTTTTCCTGTCACACTTAAGCTTGAATTGATTGTCAGACAAATGTAAATGATACAACCACGACAGTTATTACAATGATCCTCATTCATAGTGAACTTGAAGAAAAAACGGGATGTGCTTCATACTGTACATTAAATTACATGAAAATCCTTTGATATTTCAATTACACGAGCAGATTGCTTCAATGTCATTTGAATGAATTTTAAATCCAATAAAAAAATGAAATGAAGAGCTTTACAGTACAAACATACATTCGTACTGCCATATTTCTTTAATAACAGCTTTCTAACAGCTTATCGCATTTTTTGTCCGATCCCAACGGTTTTCAATTGCTACGTTCTCCTTCATCAGGCTTTTTCGCCCTAACTGTGAAGTAAAATATAAATGCTAAAAAAACATAAAAATGTATCGCGAGAGAGCGAATAAAAATAAGTTGAGGAGTCGTTTTGGAATGGATGAATAAAGTGCTTTTTCTGGTGTTAATACAGTTTTGCCTAATTTGAGTTCTTCCTTTATGTTACTATATGAAATATATGACTTCTCTTTGTTTTTGCTTCAAATTAGCTTTATACAGAACTTAAAGTTGATTTGAATCTTCCTACAAAAAGAGTTGATTTCAAGCTTTAGATCTATCGATGGAACTGCAAGTTTTATGTTCAATCAGGTGCAACGATGACTGTATTAGTAAAATTTAAGATTCATATTAAATAGTTGTCACAGCAGCTGAAGTGATTCGTTTGTAAAATAGTTTAGTATTTCGGTACCAAATTATCGCAATACCGACACAGTGATTATAAGTTGAAGGCTTGGTATGGGGTCGTTCACTTATGACGTCCGAAATTAACGGTCATTTTTCAAAAAAGAACAATGGATTTCCTGGAATTTCTATTGTTCTTTTCTTGCTGACCCCCCCCCCCCCCCTGTACGTCATAAGTGAACGGCCCTTGGGAAATTTTTAATTTGTCCATTTTCAAAGCTATGTAATGCAAATCATTGAAGAGTGTCCCACACATAATTTTCAAATAAACCAACTTAATCAAACTGAGCATGAAAGTCGCATTTTTATGTTAAAAAGTTGGCAAGGAGAACGAAATAATAAATCTAAAGTTTTTTTTTTTTTGTCGGATTGCGAGTGGCGGTGGGTAATAATGAGAAAAAAGCTCTTCAGCATTTACACGACCTAAAATCATTATCATATTCCTCACTAATACACAAAACCATCATTCACATAAGCATAAAGATTGTGCGAATATAACATTATCCCTTTTTTCTATGGAAGCTTATTATACTGAGCCTCACACGTTACTGACTCAACCAATGAATTATTTTTTTTTTTCTGTTTTATTTGTCGCGTTATGATAATAATATTATTATATTTGATTATATCGTCAAAAATTACTGTTGTGAGTTCTCATATGGATATACTTTTTATTCATTTTGGGATTAGACACTAGAAATAATTAGATATAATCAGTTGAATGAGCAAATGAATGGTAATCTTAAACAGAAACAAATCTAGAGACTAGGGGTTGGTCCGATGCGTCCTGGAATTTTGTTCAATGATGAACATTCAAGTGCTTTTTTTAAGATTCAACTCCATAAAGCCTTAAAAATAAAACTCTGTAAACTGACAAAAATGCTGTTCCTTCTTTTTCAAATAAACAATAGTCTAATCCTCAATCAGCAAAAAAAACGTCCATAGTTTAATCAGTTGCCTTTGAAATGGCTTATCTAAAGGTTGTTGTTCTTTATAGTGTCATTAAATAATATTTTATGTATGGAAATAAACTTCTTGTGAAATCCACAATAGCCTATAATAAAACTGTCTATACTGAAGATTTCAATTAATTTTTTTCCCTTCCTTCTTTTTTTGGTTCTTCGCGTTCTTCATTAATTTGATACACTTTAGAAAAGGCCAGCAGAAAGAGGAGATTAATATAAAAAAAAAAAAAGGCAACAGAAAAGGGCAACAGAAACTCTATAAATCAAAATAATTGGCAAAAGAGGATTAAACAATCTCTCAGATAATTTAATGATAAGATGGCTACACCGCCGGATTCGCCTATCGAAGAAGTTGTTTATGAATTAGAGACAACAAGTAGAACTTTTCCGAAGCCTGTGCCAGTAGCATTAGAAGACTTATGTCGACTGACGAAATTTACACGCCAAGAAATTCGAGTTATGTACAGAGGATTCAAAGTACGTATATCCAGCGATATAGAGGGTACCAATGGAATCAAGTCGTGTTCAGAAGATTTTAAAAATATTTGAAGTTATGTTTAAAAACATTCTTGTAGAAAAGCAAGTTTGTGTAGCTGAGTGATGTTGTGAACATTATAGGGGCCGTTCCTTATGACGTCCAGGGGGGGGGGGGGGGGGTTCAGCAAGAAAAGAACAATAGAAATTCCAGGAAATCCATTGTTCTTTTTCGAAAAATGACCGTTAATTTCGGACGTCATAAGTGAACGACCTCATATCCCGATTGAACAACTGCTGCATGTGTCTAATAAGGATTGACTAGACTACTCGATGTATCTTATACTATGGACCCTCGGTTTGAATCTATTCGATATTAACAGGATTTTTCTGGAACACAATATCAATTCAAATCAAGGACCCCCAATAATTAATTAAGAATTTCATCATTTGGTTGGAATCGAACCTACGTCTTCTCAAAAATTTGACATGTGAAACAGATTTGCATATTTATGATTCGACAGCACATATTTCATTCTGCTACAACATTACAAGAAGCACACAAAAACTAACGGCCAGCTTTCCATTGGTACATCCTGGAATAATGTGAATGGAATTTCCACTGCATTAATTTTATTATTAATTGCGAAATATGTTCTCATAAAAATATTCTCTTTTATCTTTCTTGCTACCTCCGGTACCGTTATTTCGTTTCCTTTTTAATGATGATACAAAAGGCTGAATGCCCCGAAGGAGTAGTACATGAGAATTCTTTTAAGGATATTTACGCAAAATTCTTTCCACATGGAAGTAAGTATCTGCTTAATAAGATTTTCGTAGTTTTACTATACAATTACAGGTTTAATGCTATTCTATGCTATACACATCATACCAAAGGTTAAATTTTTTCAAATTCCTTTCATTTTTCCCATCTGAATTGTAATGCCATAAAAGTGGCTTGAGCTTTTTGTAGCATGAAAGGTCAAATCTTTCAGTTAAATTACAATGATTTCAAAATTTGACCTCTTTTTTGGGGTAGATATCATGATTCAACAAAGGTTAAAAGAGCTTTTAATCATTGCTTAACAATTCCCATATTATTGTATTTTTGCAAATCCGATTATAATGGAAAGCATGGAATATTCAAATAGCTATAAATTCTATTCTAATCGAATCACGTTTTTCAATTTAGATTCGAGCCTTTATGCTCACTATGTCTTCAAAGCATTCGATGTAAATTGTAATGGAGCGATAAGTTTTAGAGATCATATAGTCACACTATCCACTTTGCTTCGAGGATCCGTTTACGAGAGATTAAAATGGACGTTTAAATTGTATGACTTAAATGGAGATGGATGCATTAGTAGAGGTGAATTGACAGAAGTTGTTCAAGCTGTTCATGAACTTATGGGTAGACGAATACCGGATGATGACAGGAAAACACGTGAACAGGTAATAATTTGATTTTATGCTGCGATTTTTACATTCCCATTTATGAATGCATTTTTTTTATTTCCCATTCAGGTTGATCGAGTATTTAAAAAGTTAGACCTTAATCAAGACGGTGTTATAACGATAGAAGAATTTTTGGAAGCATGTTTGAAGGACGAACTGATAACTAAATCACTAGAAATGTTTGACAAGGGATACCTCTGATGACAATCCAGTACACCATCGAAAGCAAGTAGCACAACAACAAAAAAGAATATTAAACCACGCGATACCACGACACTAATTCATTTTTAATCAAGAGAAATGCAAAATGTGAGGAAAATAAATATGACAAGGAATGAAGCCAAATTCTCTCATCATGACATAGAATAAATAGTAATTTGCTGTACTACTTATCAGTCCAAAACCATAAAAAATTATAATGATGTATCATTAAGTTTACTCGGTTTGCGTGCGTTTCGGTTCTTTTCTTCGTCCGTTGTTGACCTCCCAAAAAAAAATTACGCTTATCCATTTTCGTTCTTCCTGCATGTCTATTTCAGTTTCGCACTGAAATATTAATCAACAAATGACTTTTTAGCGACAATGTTTATGATATTGCAGTGACATTCATTTTATTATTACATCGATGCCAATGCTGTAATATTATTTATATTTTTCTTTTACCATATCCATCATCCTAAAGCATGCTAACGTTATCTAATATGTAAGTAGCATGGTCAATGATATTGTACCGTTACAAAAATATATATGAATATTAGTAATTGTAACAACGTCATTTCTAGATTCACCCTTTAGCGGAAGGGATAGTTCGTGTATTTCATAATTTTTAAATTTTTTTTTTAAATTTTCTTACAAAAATTGTTAAAACTAGGGAAAGGGGATCATTAACTCCTATTTTTAAGGTTACGAAATATGCGCACGACCCCCAATAGATTTTTACCTTTTCATAACTAAAGGGCTATTAACTGATGATGTCTAGTATTTAGCGAGAGTACATTATTTTTCAAGTGGGGTTTCATTACGTACGTCATTTATGAACGAACCCAAATCTCAAAGCGACACAAAAAATCATTTTAATTTTTTCATTAAATCAAAAAGGCAGCACATGACGTCTATTATTTTTTTTTTCCTTTATAAACTATAATTGTACATATTCTACATGGAGAACGCTAACGTTATTGAAATATTATCACGGGGGTCATTTGAAATTAAAGGTAGGAGGAACATTAAATTTGCATTTATGACCGCGATTTTCCTGCTGATAAAGAATATTCTTTCGCCATAAATCACATGCATGCAGCACAACAGCCAAGTGAAGAAAAAGGAGAGAATTGAAATTTTTTCACTATTTTCTGTTGAAAATTTAATAAAGTAAATGATTTACGGGCAGAGATACAGAGCTAGTGAGAAATGTGTGGTGAAACGTCTATTTTACTATCTTTTACAATATTTAATTAATAGATTTTTATCATGAGCAACCGTAAAAAATTTCATTTTATGCTTCTTTTGTACATTTCATGTTATCATTCCTTCATAAAATGAACAGAACGAGCATTAAGCACTCGAATAGTTGGAAATGAAAATTTTGTATATAAATGAACAATTTATTTTTAATACCAAACAAACTCAAATGATCCGTTGCCATTACCATTCTGTTTTTAATCGTTAAGACTTTCGAGAGAACTTAATCAAAGTAGAAAAGCACAAAGCATTAAGTTTAAACTACCATTAGCTCCAATAACAATTTCAAAACTTTTTTTTATGTAAGAAGAAAGCTTTAGTCTAAAAGAGCATGCAGAATAATAATAAAACAAAACAGAGGAAGTTCCGTATAAGAAGCAAATTATGACTGTGCTGTAGAAGATTCAGCATCATTGATGATTCTGTTATCTTGGAGTTGTTTTAAGGTCAAAAGCGCTTTCGGTTTATTAATCAATTCATTTCATGGACTTCAGGTATTGTCTGTGAAGCAAGCATTTGAAGCGGCATGGAATCTAGCATGGAACTCGATTTTTAAATTCGAGGGAAAAACTTTTTCAAAAAATCACCCACCTCGGTTAGGGGCCGTTCACTTACGTTACGCAAAAACGACTTTTTTCACCCCCACTCCCCCCCCCCCCTTGTTACAATATGTTACAACTCACCCCCCCCCCCCCCCCCTGAACGTTCATAATTTATTTTATTTTGATAATTTTTTATTCTAAAAAGACGGTTAAATTTATATTAAACATCAAAATACTGTACAGCTAAATAGGTCATGTTTTAATTGATACTATTAGTATTCTCATGAATTATTGGATTGAGATATAAAGCAACAATTTTTTTTTAAGAAAATTCAAAAATATTATGCCCGATCGAATTTTGGAAAATTCAATCAACTTTCAATGTAAATATCACAATGATGGGATCATATTAGTCATCATATGAATGACAGATTTAGAGAGATTTACTTTTAAACTTATAATTGATTTAATTTTGAAAATTTCCACAATTTATGATTGTATTTTAAAGTCTTGTAAACCAGTTTTCTATTGATTTGTTACTTTATATAACAAAAACTATGTATTGTAAAGCTATCAAAAGTGATCTGGACATTCATAAATCATTAAAAAGATGGAAAATTTAAAAAAAATGTTTTTGGTGTGAATTTGTAAACAAATTTTTTTCGTGAACTTTTTTTTTAAAGGCAGGCGACAATTTGAACGTTACATACTTCTTGACACCCCCCCCCCCCCTATGTTACATTTGGTTACAATTTTTCAATCAACAACCCCCCCCCCCCCCCCACCCCCCCCCCCCCCCCCTAAAATGCGAACATAATAAGTGAACGGCCCCTTATTAAACCTTCAAAAAGTGTTGATTTAATCTCAAAAACTAAGTTTGGCTTCAGAAAGTCAATGAAGAATTAACTTAAGTTTCACATTCAACTGTTAACCAGAGATCGAAGCCGATTTTTTCGGCTTAACTCAATTTTTGATTTTTTTGATAGAAAAAAGCCATTTAACACCCATTTTAAGTATTTAAATTGAACTTTACATGCTTTTCTATGATTCTGTGAAATATTTTTTCAGCATGTAGCTATAGTAAGCTCTGAATTTCAATTTAGCATTCTTTAACTTGAAATTCTGAGCTCACTATAGCTACATGCTGAAAAAATATTTCACAGAATCATAGTAAAGCATGTAAAGTTCAATTTAAATACTTAAAATGGGTGTTAAGTGGCTTTTTTCTATCAAAAAAATCAAAAATTGAGTTAAGCCGAAAAAATCGGCTTCGATCACTGCTGTTAACTGAGAAGCAGGTCTCATTGAACAAGAGTCAAGTGAATATTATTTTGCGCTCATTAATATCCATTGGGACTCGCTCAGTTATTTCATTTTCCTTTTATGATTCAATTCCCTAAGTTAAAAGTTTTCATGTTCTTAATCTTATAACTCCTATAAAAATCGGAAATAATAAGTGAACACTAGCTTACAAGTAGCGAGGAGAGATGTACTCAAAATGACGCTTCCATTTCATTCATGGCTAGTTTAAATCAATACAGTGATTCCATCATTTGAATCTGTATACAAAAAAAAATTAAAAATCGTCTTCAATAAACAAAGAAACAACTAATTAAAGCAATAATGTAAATGTTGGATGGACTTCCAGGATAATTGATGGAACTGAAGGCTCAAAGAAAGTAAAAAAAATATGGCAATGAATGTCACGAAATGAATTTATTGGGGAACATAAAGACATCACAATATTGATATCAATTTTATTTAATTAGGTATGCATTACCATCAATAATAAGTAATAAGTCATGACTCAATTACTCACTCCCTTAAGTAGCAATAAAATATTTTAATTTTATTTATTGACTAATTTATTCACTCAACAAATCGCTTCCATGAAGGTTGTATTTCCATTCTTTTTGTCCTGGCTGTTGACAATATTTGACATTTATATCCTAAGCATAATTTATGTACGCAATGTCATTAGTATGGAAAATTTTGCGGAACGGCACTAAAACATCATTTAACGTTTTATGATTTCGTAACCACGTGAATCTTGTCTACTACTCCGTGTGTGTTATTGTGTTGTCGTTAATGTTATAGTTTGTAATGATCTATCTATCTCTGTCTCTCTCTCTCTCTCTCTCTCTTTTTCTATTTCTCCATCCATCACTCTTTCTGTTCTCCTTGTCATATTACATTTTGGGTACCTATGTAAAACATATTATAAACCAATTTGATATAAATTGTTCCCATCTGAATAAACCAAATTAATTATTAACTTTCAACATTTCTATTTTCACTCCTTTGTATTTTTCATTCTCATAAATTTTATGTTTATTGCGGGTCAAATGATTAACAAAAAAAAAATTAAATAATTCTATGTATTTTATGCATAAGAAAGTTTTACGTGGGAATATGCATAAAGGTTGTTGACAAATTTATTTACTTTTATCCTCAAAATTCGTGTGACCTGAGGTGGAAAACTTTTTTAATCTCAATTTTAAAGTTAATCGCGTGAGCAAAGTGCTACTTATGAACTTTCGTCAGTTACTTCAAAAGCAAAAGTTTATAAAAACTTAACAAATTTCAAACTAGTTTGAGAAAATCGTTAAATAATTTGAATTCAAAAATGTTTTTTTCAAAACTCAAACTTGAAAAGTCCGTTAAAAATTCAAAATGAATAAATTGAGAATTTAAAAGGATATCATCACCTCAAATTACTTTTCCTACCGTTTTTAACCGTATTTTTGAATAAAGTTTATTTTAATATTGACGTGAGAGAATTATAAAGATAACTTATAATGTAATAGCATATAATGATGTACAAAAGAAAAAAAAAATCAGAATTTAAAAGAAGAAGAAGTAAAACCTTTTAAACAATTTTTCCAATATATGTGTGCAATTTAGAGAAAAATAAATCGTGTGTCCTATTTTTAGATAATCAATCATTATCATTAATATATTAATGATGACAATTTTATCCCTTCCTATGCGTGTTGATTTGAAATTTTTTTTTTCAATGATGTAATATGTATGGAATTAAATAATTGGAATGAAGAGGAATTATGTTAACATTTCAGAGATTTCGATTAACATTTGAATAATAAAATAAAAAATTTAAGAAAATGTTTTTTAAAATTTAAAACGCACATCCGAATATCTTGAAATAGGATTTTTGGAAGTTTAAATTGAAAAAGCTTTTTAGCAAACTTTAAAAAAAGATTTTAAATACTTACATTAAAAGAAGAAGTAATGAACTACAAATTTGTATATGATGTCATCAATTATGATATAACTTGCTGGTATCTGATTTCTGTATTAGATATGAGCATTAAATCAAATGAAATTAAAACCAAAAGAAATCAGAGTTGTTGATTGAATGCTATTGGATCTCATGAAAATATCGATAAGTCTTTGGGATAGCTTGACTCACGGAATTTTGAGTCATTTAAGGATTTTGATTTTCAAAATTTTCTAGTTTGTTGCATGGTATAGAACAGTATAAAACCTTTAAACTGATTTGATGAAATTTCTCTATACCTAATAATTTAAAAGTAAAACTAAAGTATTGACTTTAGTAAAATAAGTGTGATGAATAATTGATTAGTGATTCCTACATGATCATTAGATTTATAATATGAACAGATTGGAAAACACTGACTTAACGAAGTAAATGAGAAAAACCAAATCGATGAACTAGTTATTGGAATAAGACTCATCATCCTTAATGTTCAAATTGTCAGGCAGTGTTTCTCAGACTATACAAGGATTTCATTCAATTATTACATAACGTCTGAGATTTCATGACAGTTCAAACAGAAATATATTTTTGCTTGTGGTTACATAGGAAGGTGGAGAAATCCAAATTTTAAGAATATCATTTCTGAAATGAAAACCATAAGTTAAGTCATAGGAAGGTTGCAGGACAAAGACTTCATAAAATAAGAATCATTTCCATTCAAATTTAGATCCAGAAAGTAGAAATTACTTAACATTTCACAAAATGATCCTAGAAGGAGGCAGTGACAAGCATCAAGTGAGCAAAACGGATGTGAATGAATTTATCAGATTATATTAGAAATCGATAGTATTTTTTTTTGGATCCTCAAAGTTGACAAACTCTCGTCAGATACATTCAGCAGCATTCAAATAACAACATTGAAACAAATTTTAATAAAGTAAATTACAATCTACTTTTGTGGCACTATGTACTTATATTGTATAAATTTTATGATACAAAACAAGAAAAAATGAATTTTCAATTTATTTTGTTTGAGATAATAAAAAATGAAGTATAATTAAGAGATCATGAAACATAAACCAGTTGTTATGAAATATTACTCGAATGAGAGGAAAAAATGGAAATTGCCATAACTGTCAGCCAAATTTTTTGCCCTAATTATCTCATAATAAATGAAATTCACAAGAAAAATGCCCTTAAACCACCGAAATTAAATAAAAGATTTAAATTTTAAGTGTTACTCAATGAAATAAGCAAAAAACGCAGTGAAAAAAATGGAAAATTATAGAGAATGCAGGACTCAAAATATCAGTAAAAGTTAAATAAAAGAAAAATGATGAATTAAAACAAAAAAAGTATTTTTAATCCGATTAAATTCGCAACATTAATCAATTTGACGATTAAGGATTAAGAGAGCTTTATGTCAACAATCATTTTTGTGCGAAACGAACCAACCAAGGGAGAAAGGAAGGCTGTAAGATAGACTAAGCATGATGAAAGAGTCAAAAAGAGAGTATTGTTCCATCCACAATATGTATTGGATTTGTTCTGACTTATTATTTTTTTTTTTTACGATCAATACAGTTTTTTTAAAAAGAGTTACAATCATTCATTCTTTCAAAAGTAATGAAAAGTTTCCCGATGATTTTTATAAATGTTATAGTTAAAAAGCAACAAACTATGCCCTTTCTGCGAAAAGTATGTATTTATGACAAGAAAACTGTTTTTTTGCTTTGTTGTTTCCATAAAATTAAATAGGTAAATTAGACGACAAGAGAAACATTCGATATTTGTATCTTTGTGTACAACAGTAGCAGCTATCTTAAGCCTTCTTGTCTTTAGACTGTTGCTTTTTTCCACCTTTGTTCTCATTTGATTTTTTTGGTGTCGTTTCCTTTTTCGATTCTTTTTTGTCGTCAGCTTTTGCAGGTTCTGCAGGAGTCTTTTCAGCAGAAGCAGCTTCTTGTATAGTACTAGTTGCTATTTGGGCTGCAATCTCCTCAACTTTCTTCTCTTCTTCCTTTGTTACCGGTGATGCTTCTGGTTTAGCCGGTGCTGGTGATTCAGAATTGGCTACATTCTCAAAGTTTTCCACCAAATCGGGAATATCTTCTTCTTCCTTGCCTTCTTCAACCGAGCTCAGAATTTTGTTTCCAATTCCAACATTGTTGGCCAATCGTTTCAATTGAGACAATCCTTCTGTACCCAATTGTGTGAGAATTCCTGGCAACAATTCAGCAATCTACAAGGATACAAACATAATAGTTTAAGTAATGTTGCCGGTTATTGTTGATAAGAGATTTATTGAGCATTTTGATACCACAAACAAACGAACTGATAATGAGAAAAATGTGAGAATGATGGGAATATTCTGACCGCAAAATAGCTGTTATAGCTATTAATACTAAGCAACCAGAGGACAGATATAGGAAGAGAATGCTCATAAACATCATTTGAGGTTAGATCAGAAGGAAGAAAATTTGAGACTTACCTGTTTAGTTTCGCCGTGTCCTGTAATTGCAAATACATTACTGGCTAATGATGCTTGAGTTTTTGGATTGTTGAAATGAATGACAGTTCCATCGTTTTTAATCAAATTAACCTCCTCAATGCCAGGAATATTGTTAACAGCTAATTTCTTTAATGTTGATTGCAATTTTTTGTCGTCAGTTGCGGCAGTTTGATGCACAATCTTCTTCTTGCGGCGTGGAGTACCTTAAATGGTTAAATAATCAATTATTAACTTATTAAATCATTGAAAATGACTATTTCTGGATGAAAAAAAAATAGTCTCAATAAAACATGATTTTTTCACTGAATTTCGACTTGTTCCTGGATGATTTCATACCTTTTCCTCCAATACGAACTTGGGCGGCTTGCGCCTGTAGTTTCTTTAATTTTTCAGGATTCATTTCACCGCTTTTTGTGAAATTTACTAATGGGATCTCGTGCTTTTATTTCACACAGAGAGAAGGAAAAGAAATATTCAGGGCTCAACCGTTTTTTGTCGAGCAATTCAAATTATTTGGTACCGTTACTGTCACTATAAATTTTTGTCATTAAATTGAAACTGGATTGTTCGTAGAAGTCACCAACCTTATTGCTAGTGAGCAGTCTTAAAAACAGTTGAATTGAATAGCTATTGGGCTTGAAAAAGTGACTTGAACTGAACTGAATCAGTGTATTACTGAACAATATGAGTGTGTTCAAAAATTTCTACTAAACACACTCGAAGAAAAATAAAATGTTACAGTGAACATCGTCAAAGAAAAAATTAGTGTTCTGAACGAAATCGAAGAAAATTTAAGTGTTCTGTCAGAAAAAATATAGAATTAAAAAGAATGGATTTTCAAGAGAATTCGCCAGGTTAGCATAATTAAGTGTAATTAATCGTGATAAGGAATGATCAATTGATAAGAAAATAATCAAGTTTAATAGAAATAATTTGTGTTTATGATAAAAAAGTGTACGTGAAAAATGTTGAGTCATAAAGTTTCCCATTTTCTTCAATTTGATACATTATATACGAGAAGATCGATAGATTTAATTAAAGAAAAAAAGCATTGATGAATATTGTATTGTTGTGGACCTAATGACCTATAAAAAATGTTAAAGTGACGCCAAGTTTTGGCTTATTTAACGTATGTTATCTCATATACACACATATAATATGTACATTTTTAATAATTTTCTCCTCGTTCCTTCTTATTCGACATATTTGAGAATCTATTTTTGAGACAAATAGAAATGCCAACAAGACCATTTAACGAAAATTTCATGGATAGATGAAAAGACTCGATTACTATTGGAAAGTGCTTTATTGCCTTAACTGTACGACGAATTTAGTGAAGTGAAGCATAGTTTTTGCAGTCAGTAAGAGCTTTATGCGGAGGAACAAAAGAGAAAATGATTACCGATATTCTCGGGCAAGAGATTTGTTAATGATACCATTCGTTGCTAGGTATCACGGACGAACTGTCCGCAACATGCATACACAGTTCTCATTTCTTTCTCTATTTCCATTACTTCATTCAATATTTCATAAGACCTCACTAGTTCCATCATAAATGAACAGCTAAATGAATTTAAAATATAGATCTATTATCTTTACTCTCTACGAATAAAAAAATTATTATAATAATAATATTAAATTATAATATAACGTTCAAAGACCACAAATGGAAATATACGCTTCAAATATCTATAAAAGTTTTTAATAATGCTTTTTTTTTGTTTAATTACAAGACCAATCAGTGAATAATGAATTTTATTTTTTGTGTTTTTCTTTAAATGAAGAAAAAGCTTAATTTATAAAGTTATAGTTTCACTGCTTCTACTGCTACTTTTATTTCGAATCATTGAAGCAACCCAAATCATTCACCTACATACAAGTATGTTCGTTTCTAATACTTAATATCTCTCACTTTTTATGCAGAAATAAATGCGAGAATTATTGATTCAACCTTGCTGTATACATCCATAGACTTTTGCCTGCACTGCTTAAGCAGCACTAAACTGTGTATATATATAATACATTTTCATTTTTTGGCAATATAGAACTTAATAGAAAAAAGAAGCGTGTTATCGATCAGAAAAATGAAATTTTTATCATTACTATGGATTCGAGATTATTCATATTCATAGTGTAATGACGAGTGATTAAAAATAGACGTTAGATTCATTATTTGCAAACTGTATCTATCAGAATGCACAAAGCACTAGAAACCTCTCAAATTATATTTCATGCATACAGACTAAGAAAAAGGGTAAAGAAAACAAATTCGATAATGAAAGAAACAAATAAATTTAGAGAGATGACGTTGGAGATTCACACGCTTACACATTTGTTCCAATATGAAAAAAATAAGTTTAGTCAAATGCGCAGGTCGCCGAGAATGTTTTTGTTGTTATCAATTCAAGAGTTGGAATGACTGAATAATGTAAAAGTCCAGTGCATGGCATATGATTTATTCGAGTGTGACCTTCATTAATGATCGATTCGATTCCTACAAAATTAAAAAAACTTTTTCTCTTCTTTTATGTGTCTCTTTCCATTTCCTGTTGCACTTCATTCTTATGTTTGTTCTTAAATTACAAACATTTCTTTTCTCACATTGCATCGCGCACATATGTTCCATGCATTTACGCTCTATTATTCTGTGATATAAAAGCAAAAATAAGAAATAAAAGTAAGAGATGAGCATCATATTAATAGAATCGAATCGCGTTGTATTTCACTGAACTCTTGAAAGTTTTTCTTCTGCTAGAATTTATTCGAAATGAAATCTCCACGCTGAGAAAGAAGAATGTAAAAATTCCTCTCGAACAGAAGATTTAGGGCTGTTCATAAATAATGCCCAACAAAATTTGAGACTTTAGAGACCCCCCTTACTGCAACGAAGCAGTTTATTATAAGTTTAAAAATTTGATGACTAACAATCAGTATTTGACGTCACAAGTGAATGACCTCATATTCTAAAGACTGAAAATTAGACATAGCTCACTATACATTTTAACTGTTATTAATGAAGAATTCATTTGTTTCGAAAAGAAAATTAATGCGACGATATTCAGTTCTTATTTTTTTTAAAAAAATAATAATAATAAAAGAATTTCGTCTGTGTGCGTCGCACCAAGCATCGTATGTGAGCAAAATTAATGAAGTGTGAGGGAGGTATGGTACAAATTAACTAAATAGGAAAGAGGAAGCGCATACACATCTTTAGACACACTAAAAAATGGACCATTATCTTCTCAGGCTGAGAAATAATGAAGAAATTAACTGCATTTCTCTTCATCTGCTTATTCAGTAGTGTTAACATCGCGAACCGGGCATAAATTATCTCTCATTCGCTTGCTTATTCATATATATATATATATATATAAGATGAGATCACTCCGTGCTAAATGAATGACTATGAAAGTTCAGTATGAAGCATTTCGAGCATGTCAAATCAAAGATTATTTTTTTCATGAGCAGTTTTTTTTTTTGTAGAATCGCAAAGCAATTTTAAGTTAAACATTATTGCATGATTTATATGTAAGCGATCTAGTATTTAGATCTATCTCATTTTATTGATATTATGCCGAAAGATTTGGGTGTATGGGCAGTTCAATCAAATCGATCAAATGTTTACTTAATGATGAAGTAATTCAACTCGATCAACTGTGAAGCTATAATTTAATTTACATTGCTCTTAATTTGACGTAATGGCTCATTCGGTTGGATATTTGTTTCGCTGTACAAAGTATCAATTTTGAAAGGAATTTTCCATGGCCAAAAACTCTACATGCATTAGTTACGGCTTTTTCCTTATCAATTTTTTTTATCAAGCTAGATCAAATTTGCAATAATTATCATGCACAGTGTACATTTTGGAATAACATTATTGTTTTCTGGACTGAATTCTTATCAAGCTCTTGTTCACCGCAAAACACAATTCGAAATGCACTAATCAAATTAGAAGCTTTAGGTATTTGCTAACTCAAACGACCTTCCTAGAACTTTAAGTCAATGAGTCAATATTTTTATTACTATTATTGTGACACACAGATGATTTTGAAGGTGTTTGATTCAGTGCCATTTAATTTTCTCAAAACTGTGACACACTTTTTTGATAAGAAAAATTTCATTATGTATCATAATGATCATATTACAATGTACTGCTTCCATCAAGGCTGAGGAATTATTAATCATCAATATTTTATCTCTGATGAGAAGAAAACAAGTATTAGAGATTGAAGATTAAGATCTTGTTAAAAGATTAATCATTTCTCAGCCTTGATCAAGATTCACGACCTCTGGATGTATGTGCACCTTAAAAGTTGTGTACTTATATTGTATGTATACTCTTCTATAGATTTTTTAATGCCATTCAAAGCAGGTTTTTTGTATGTTTTCCCGGTCTTGAGTGATTTTTGGGACTTCCTTTTGCCGGTACTAATTTGTAATTTTTAAGCCACATCGACAGTAATCGACATGGCGCTTATCTGAATTGATCGTTTCTAGCAGTGTTATTTCCAACATTGTTCCTGGATAGCTTAGACATTTTTAAGAAATCATTTATTCAAATAAAGAATGCTAAATAATTAATAATAGAGCGTTAGAAGAAGCCGATATTTTAACACATTTATGGGCTAAAGGGAACTTTACAGCCTTTAAAAACAAATTATTTATTCATTCTGCCAATTAGCAAGTCAACCAGTTCAGATCAATATCAGAAATAAAAATTTCCGGCCCTCCAATAAACATCTCGTCTCGCATGTTATTTTTACCTCATTTTTTCTTCACCACACACAATATTTCGCAAAGATGCGATTAAAGAATGTGTCTGTGCAGAATAAAATAAACAGGAATGAGATAAAAGCGACAAGCTTGAAAAAAAAAGTGTAATATACAAAACGAGAACATCTGTTTTTCTACTTTTGTATGGTGATTCCAATTATTAATGATTATGAAGCACAAAACTCAGTATAAAAAAAGTATTGAATTTTTTTTTTGTTCGCAAATTAAATTAATAAAAGCGACCATCACTCATTCAACAGCAATATAATAATGATTTTTTCGTGCTTAATACAAAAGCAACGAACTCTTGAGCTTGCGAGTGGCATGTGTGGTTCAGTTATCTGTCGGTATGCAGACACAATAGGACGGGTTTTTTTTTGCACGCTTTAGGAGGAAAAAAAAACTACAAAAAAAATTATTTCAAAAAAAGAAGTGCAGAAGAAAAAGAGAGCTTTATGCGGAGTCAGAGAAAATCGTCTACGAAAAGAGTGTAAAGACTTTGCTAGTTAGAAATGGTAGACATTAATTTGCTGTCGTTGTTTTAACACTTGTCAGTCTTTATATTTTGCGGGTAGATCATTCGCGGATTTGCTCGCGTCAAAAAATTAACGTGCGGTGAAGTTCGGAAGCATTTTTAAGTGAAATTTTTATTATTATTGAATCTGCAGTGCAGCAATTGATTGAACAATGTGAATTATATGAAAAACTCATAAACTTTCACTGTTATTATTAAGACTTCCAGTATATTTCTAAAGATTTTCGCGATTAAATAGCATAGAAAATTGAAACATTATTTTTGTGGCATAATAATTGAGGAAAAATGTGAATATATAGTAATTTTTTTTTTATTGCTGCACATACATACAGACTCATTGTGATATTGATTTTTATAATTTAAAGTGAAGCTGCAAAAAAAAAATAAAATACAATATGAATGATCTTCGCAGTCATTAGTTTTTCTCGCGCAGTCGAACATCCATGTTGACTGCTGAAAATGTTATTAAATTTAATTGTGCATGTAATAAATAATCGATAAGTTTTAGTTCCAATAAAAAATAAAATAATATAGTAATAATAATTA